AGCTTTAATGAAAGAATTGTCTGGTAAGATTTTGAAAGGCCATCTGAGTAAGGGACATATCGTCACTTTAGTGCAGTGACTGGTTAACTCGGCATTTACATGTTAATTGACTGGTTAACTCTGCATTTACATGCAAAGTGACTGGTTAACTCTGCATTTACATGTTAATTGACTAGTTAACTCTGCATTTACATGTTAAGTGACTGGTTAACTCTGCATTTACATGTTAATTGACTGGTTAACTTTGCATTTACATGTTAAGTGACTGGTTAACTCTGCATTTAAATGTTAAATGACTGGTTAACTCTGCATTTACATGTTAAGTGACTGGTTAACTGCATTTATATGTTATGTGGGACTAATGACTGTTTTTTGCAGTTTTTATATGCATGACTAAAACAGTTAAAAAAGGGCTATTTTTGCATATTTTAACCTCTTTTTGGCAATGATGAATGTGGAGGCAGGCTGCTCTAAATAAGATACATGTGTAAGGAGTTATCCTGTAATTGCACTAAGATGATGATATTATTAAGTTCACTATTCTTTTATAAAGTTTATATATCTAGTGTCTGAAAATTGTATATTTATTATCTTACAACAGGTGTTTCACCATCAGGCAAAATTATATCTTTACTATGTGGTTGATTTAAACTTTTAAAAGACATGTGTTTCTGTTTGTTAAAGTCAGGTGGCTAAATGCAATGTTATTATTCTAGAATTTAAATACATATTTCTTAAATTTTATAACAAGTTCCCACCCTCTTTCCCTCCCTCTAGACATAATTTAACATGTGATTTTGTTTTAAATCTTAGCATTTCTTCTTAATTTCATTATGTAATGATGTACTTGCATGTGGTTCAACAGTAAGTGTTGCCCTATATTGCCCAAATTTGCTTCCCTGAGATTTTATTACTCCTGCACGCTGTAACAGTATCATATGCTTGTCAAAAATCTCGCCATGCTCGAGTTTTTTTGCGAGCAAAACATTGTTTTGTCAAATGTTGTAACAACTTATTTACAGACCTACTGCATCTTAGAAATACTTGATTTTTTTTTGTCAAATTTTCAGCTTTCAATCTTGTGTGGGTTTGTTTTTTTTTTATAAAAGATTTAAAAGCTTTGTCCCATTAATACTAATGGAATTCATTTTATAACAAATGTAGAATGAAATGGATGACGTTTACAGAAGTTATTTGCAGGATCTTATGTAATGTTTGTTTCATTTCTGCTTCCAAGTTGTAACCACTTACAATAACAGTTTCCTGTAATTAGGGAGATTTCCTTTTCAAATGACATGCTGGAAGAGAGCGGACTGACCTTGTATGAATGAAATCAAACTGGGATATAAGATTTTGACATGATTACTGAATGTTATCTCTACAACAATCTCATATTATATTGTTCTCCCATGTGAAAAAAAAATGTAAATCTGGAGATATTTCTATTGTAGTATTACAACAAGGCACGAGAGCCCCTGTTGATTCTGTAGACACTTGAACAAAACTATGTTTAAGAGTTTTAGTTCAAGTGTACAGAATTATCAAAAAAAAAAATTATTAAATACATTCACATTTTGCCAATTATTTCCAATATTATAATACCCCCACAAATGTTTAGGGGGTATGCAGAAGCCAACTTGAATGAGGGATTTTAATATTACTTGACACACAAATGTTAATCTATGAAGTGTCACATGCAAAATTCTTCTCCTTGTGATTAAGGTCAAGGTCATATGCAGGGATCAAAAGTGAGATTAAAATATGAAAATGTGTGTATGGACAATTTAGTAGCCTACAATGTTCAAAATCCTGAGACCTAGCTAGCTTACAGATCATTGGTGAAACTACTTAGGTGCCATGTTTCACATGAAATAATACACAAATGATCACAAGAGGTCTCTGTCAGTAAAAGCTAGAAAGTCTTTTATTTTTATAGGCTTGTTTAAAAGATGGGTCGTATTATAGGAACGCCCCTGGCGAGCGGGCAGCATGCAATTTTGTCCAGAGCATATCTCCTGCACACATAGAGGGATCTCATTAAAACCACATAGAAATGTTCACCACTATGAGAAGCTGTGTCATGTACATAAACCAGGTCTCTAGGGTTAAGGACAAGGTCACACGTAGAGCTCATTGAAAAATTCTTGTCCAAAGGAAAACTTTTACATGCATTGAGAAATTTCAATATAACTTGGCACAAATGTTAACCATTGTGTCACAAGTAAAATTCAGGTCCCTGCAGCCAAGGTCAAGGTCACACATAGAGATAAAAATATAAGGATTTGTATAAGGACCATTTAGTCATCATTTATTGATGGATTGTAATACAAATAACTATCATGACTACAAGTGTGACACATGTAATTTAGGTTAATATTCACAAGGACAAGGTCACTAAAGATGGTAATATATCCAGATATTGTCCGGGTAATGCCCAGAGCATATCTATGATATGCACATCTATAATGCCCACTTCTCTGTCAAAAGCTTTTGTGACAGGCATATTTTGCGACAATGTTAGTGCCCTTGTTGGAGACAGAAAGAAATTGGTACATATAATAGTTACCTATAAATTGTATGTTCTTCTTCAGGAAATAAAAAAGCAACAAAAACCTATATCAAGAAGGAAGTAAGTAGTCTCTCATAATTACAATGTACTGCTGACCATCAATGTCATTTAAGTGCCCCCTGTTGGGTACTATGATTGTTTCCCATTTAGTCTGGTCATTTTATTGTACAGCTTTTTTTATAAAACGTTTTAGACAGCTGTATACAAATGTCCAGTTAAACCATTGTGTATTTTCTTTTTAAAAAATGTCCACTGACTGTCACCTAAAATTAGTCATTTTGTTCTTTCCTGTGAAAGAATAACAGTAACCTTAGAAACTCAGATAATGGGTTTTAAGGTCATGTGACAATTTTTCAGTTTTACTTGTCTTATTTTTTTTTCATGAGGCTATAACTTTTGCCATTGTGAAAGTGTAAAGCTTTAAAAACTAAACTTTTTCCATTGTTATTGTGTTATGCTATTACTTAAATTAATTTTAAGTGTATAGAAACTAAACTTCTGTTATGGTTAATGCATTTATCTGTATCTTTTGCTATTGTTAATATATATGGCTTTTTAAAACTTAACTTGTGTTAAGCTTCAAATTAACTTCTGCCATTGTTAATATTTAAAGCTACAAACTAAACTTCTGCTATTGTTAAAATGTAATGCTATTCCTTAACTTCTGCTATTGTTAAAATGTAATGATATTCCTTAACTTCTGCTATTGTTAAAATGTAATGCTATTCCTTAACTTCTGCTATTGTTAAAATGTAATGCTATTCCTTAACTTCTTCTATTGTTAAAATGTAATGATATTCCTTTACTTTTGATATTGTTAAAATGTAATGCTATTCCTTAACTTCTGCTATTGTTAAAATGTAATGATATTCCTTTACTTTTGATATTGCTAAAATGTAATGCTATTCCTTTACTTCTGCTATTGTTAAAATGTTATGCTATTCCTTAACGTCTTCTATTGTTAAAATGTAATAATATTCCTTTACTTTTGATATTGTTAAAATGTAATGCTATTCCTTAACTTCTGCTATTGTTAAAATGCAATGCTATTCCTTTACTTCTGTTATTGTTAAAATGTAATGCTATTCCTTAACTTCTGCTTTTGTTATTTTGTAACAGTATAAAAACTTAACTTCTGTTATTGTAAATATATAACGTTGATATAAAACCTTATCTATTTTTGATACTGTAATGTTGTAACTTTACTTCTGCTATTGTTAAAATGTAATACTATTAAATTAACTTTTGCTATTGTGAACATGTGTAAGTATGTAAAGTTATAAAAACTAAACTTCAGGTCCTCTTGATATGTAATGCTGCTATTGTAATTATGATGTAATTAGATATAAAACATTAACTTCTGCTATTGTAAATAAATAAAGTTATAAAAACTGAACATTGTTATTGAAAATAAGTAAAGTTAAAAAAAAACTTTTGCTATTTTTGTTATTGTAATGCTATTACTTAGCATCTGCTATTATTAATGTGTAGAGTTATAAAAACTTAACTTCTGCTTTTGTTGGTATTGTAAATACATTGTATGTTTTGTATATATGTAAAACAATAACCTTATTTCTGATGTAAAACTAGGGTTAGGGCTTGTCACTTTAATTTCATCAATTTGCTACTGAACAGTATTAAAGTGACATGATCCTAATCACATTTAGTTGAAATTTGCATTTTTTTATTCACTTTGTAAAATTTACCTCATTAAATGCATATAAATCATTTTATAATACTGCTTTGCCAAAAAAAACCTGGTGATAACAGCAAAAATAATATTCTCAACATTCAAATAAATTGCTATAAAAATAACAATTTCATATAAAAATAGTAAAGATTAGTTATTTAATACTCTTTTCTGCATTTTGTTGTTTTCACTCCTGTTTTGTTAAGTTACCACATCAAAAATAAATATTTTGTAGATACATGCATGATTAGATGTAGGGAATTTCATCAGTTTATCAACAAGTTCTACAGGTTAATGGTATTAAAAACACACACCTTTTGTTAATTATGATTTAATATTAACCTCAATTCTTTTTTCATTCATGCTAACTATGTAGGACTTTTTAATTTATTAGCGTAAATTCTACATCATTAATTATTTTTGTTTGACATTTAAGGTTTTCAATCACTTAAATCAAATTACAAGATTTTTTTAATAAAACAGCAAAAAAAAAAAATGCTAAAAAACCTTTTTGAAAAAAAAAATAAATAAAAAAATTACTGAAAGCAGGTGAATAATGGTACATAAGGAAATACAGGTCAAAAACATGAACAACCTTATGTTTGACATCATGTTCTCTTTTTTTTTTCAGAACAGAAAAATAAACACAGAAGAATTTACTACTATACTACTACTGTATAGTGTAGACTTGTACCACAAGCTACGTTTGCTTTATTTACGTGTCTCCTCGTTCAGTTATTTTAGAGGCAGTGAACGACTTAAACATTGGCTGTCTAGCTGTATTTTCCCACTCGTTCACTCGATTGTCAAGTCACTTCGGTCTGGGAATACATTCGTTCAAGATTACAAATACTGTTTAACATTAATACAATGGATTTATTTTTTTGTTGAAAAATTATTTTAATTATTTTCATAATACAAATAGTTTTGCGGTGAAATATTTTTCGGTACTTTAAATTTTGTAATTGATGGTTTTGAAGTATTGGAGAATTTTAAATATTTTTGTAAAGAGAGAAACGGTATTAGTTAATGCACTGTGTTAATTTTCTGCAAGGAGTGTTGGATTATTATAATAGAAGTTAAAAGATTGTGAGCTGGATTATTTTGAGTGCAGTAATTTTGACTTTATTTTGATATTAATTTGGAAATTTATCATACACTAAAATGGTAAGTTACTTAGATAAAGTGTGATTTTTTATTGTATAATGTAAATTGCTGTCAGATATACCTGTATATATAACTATATATTTAAAATAAAATGTCTGTCTAGGTTAAAATTTAAAAATGTGTTTATATTAATAAGCACATTTTAAGATAGCTGGCCTGTCAAAAATTAAACAGATATTTTAATTTTGTAAAATTTGTAGGGAAAAAAAAGATTGAATATAATGTGCTAGAGAAAGTTTTGGTAAAGTTAATAAGTGTAAGAAGATCTGAGCTGGACTGGTTGCCTTAGAGAATGGTTTAAAAATTCCCATCCATATAGTAAAAATGAAGAATTTTTTTAATCAGAGTTATTTGAAAAGTTTTATGCTAACTTCTAGGAAATATTTTATCATGGTAGATACTTGTTTGGATTTTATATCTTATTATTATATTACAATATAGAGCCACAACATTTTACTGTCAAAATGTATTAAATTTGACTTAATTTATTCACTAAACAGATATTGCAACATGAAATGGAAAGGAAAAAAAACTATACAAATGTAAATCATATACCAATTAAAGTATAGAAAGGGAGTGCATTTATGTATGATGTTATTCTTTGTTGTAATTTCAAGTCTTTTCAGACCATACACTGTAAAACATCTGCTTAATTTAACAATTTTACGGAGCAAAAAAAAAAAAAAAAGAAAGAAAATGAAACAAAAACTGTTAGTTGACTTTTTAAGATATCATTTCCTGTACAGAATGATCTTCATGCATAATGCATGTACCACTACAAAAATTATAAAATATAAACTCTTACATTGTCATTGATGAATTATATTTGTAAGGTGCTATCTTTACAAGTCTCACATGAGTTGAAATATTTTTGCTGCATTATTAAACTTTAGGTTCAAATAGTTTATAGTTGGTGTAGATAATTTAATGCAAATTTATTGCATCAGATAATAGAGTTTGTTTAAATGTCAACTCCTGTCTCATTGAAATTGTGTGACTTTATCATTTTTGCACCATGATATATCTGTGTTAATTTCATATTAAAAATTAAATAGAAAAAACAACAAGATGATAGCTCTTTGTTGAATGTTTTGTAAAAAACTGGGAATTAATTTTGGGGTTTGACTGGGGAAAAGGGGAAATTTTTTGTAGAAATGCCAGTTATATGTAAAAATTAAGTTGAAAAACCAATTATTTTCCACATGAATATTAAATCTCATATTTTATTTATTTGTTGTTATACACCATACATTACAATTATTCAACTGAACATTTATAAAATCAGTTTTTTCACAAACTAGTTGACTTCATATATTCAATTTGTGGGGGTCCCTTTTTTGCGATGGTTTTTATGCTAGAAGGAAAAAAATTCCCCGGTTTGGCCTGATTGAACATTTCATTTTGGTTGACTTGGGCCCTTTTACGTGAGTTTTCCCTGGGAAAGCTAAAAGATTAAAGTTCAGAGTTTGATAACTTTGGGCCCAAAACCCCCCTTTTCCCTAAAAAAGAATTTAAATATGTTTAAATTTTGGGGAACCTACTTTGCTTTTTGTCAGGTGCCCTTTTTCTTAAAGTTGTTAAAAAGTAAAGTTGTCTAAAATGTGAATTTCCCTGCCCCAAATCCCCTCCCCAAAAAAAATAAAATAAATTTTTAATATGTATTTTTAAAATTTTTAAGGTTGTAAAATTATTATACCTCTTTAATAATATTTTTTATTAACAGTTTAAAAATTTAGTAAAAAATTAACGTAAAATTTAATTTACTTTTAAAATGAAAATAAAATGTTTAAAAAGAGTAATTTTTTGAGGATTTTTAAGGGTCTTGGCCCTTTTTGTTTAAAGGAATGAGTATAAAATTTTTAAAAGTTTATGTTTTTTTTTAAATGTTTTTAATTTCCCCGGGGATTAAATTTTAATAAACCCAAAGAAATTTTGCTTAAAAAAGAAGTTTCATTTAAATAATCTATTAATTTAAAAAATTGTGCAAAAGTTTCTAAAATGTTTGACGGAAAATCTTTTAAAGGCTTAATGAAAGTTTTGGTTTTTCTTTTTTAAAATGGTATTAACGAAATAATAAAATGTTAATTGGGGGGTTTTTAAATTTTAAATCGAAGTGGTTTTAAGTGTTTAAAATTAAAAAGTCTTGTTTTTTATTGTTAAATTTTAGGAGGGAATGCAACAGTAAAGAGAAAGTGGGGAACTTGAAAAGGAGATTTCAGAAAAAGCCAAAAAAGGGGCGCCACCAAAAAAGGGAAATTTTTTAAGGAAAAACCCCAAGAAAAACAAAAAGGTGCAAAAGGGGAGCCAGTTCCTACGAAAAATATTACAAAAAAAAGACATATGATACATTTTTTCAAGAGTAAGAAGATGGTTAAATCCATGCCCAGTTCCTACAAAAATATTACAAAAAAATATATACATTTTTTCGCATATTTCGAAATCTTCCCAAAAGATGTTCTTTACATTCGCACATGGGAAATGATTAAAAATCAACATTAAACTTGTTTTCTCATCAATAACACTGAGGTTAAAGGTTTTTGGACAGCTGCTCTCTAATAGCGAGATGTTGTTATAGATATATGTACAGACTTTAATGTACTGCTCTTTACTGAAGAGTTGCAAAGTGGATTAGCACTTATTAGGGGGGACTCCCTGGGAAGCTGAATAGTGGATTATCCGTAGAGATAATCTCTCTGATTTAATCTTTGCTTTTTTTCTGCCTATGACATGGAGCCAGTCTGTAGAGATTATCTGTGCTTTAAATGTTCCTGACATAACATGATATTAAATATTTATGACATTTTGTAAACTTACAGAATATATCAGCTAGTTTGAAGGTCTTTTGTAATTGTTAGAGCGATTTTTTTTGTAAGATAAGGGGTTTGGAAACCACTGTGAACCGTTATTGTACCTATAGATATAATTGGCATGATACACACAAAAGCCTACATAAATATTACATTTGAAGTAATTTTCTTGTTAATTGTTAATTATTTATATATAAAAGAGAATTTTTTACCTTCATAAAAGTGTTTTAAATACAAAATGAATTAACTTGTTACAGTGCATTCTATTTTTCCGATTTACAGACAGATTTTTTACTATTTACACTTTAAACCGTTAAAGTCTAGCAATTCATATTATCAGATAATTTAGCTTAGTAAATCAGCTTGATTTTATTGAAATCTTTTCTCATCAAAGCATGAAGCGTTTATGAAGAAATTAGCTGAATAGATATACCAAACTGTAAGATCAAATATGTTGATATTTTCCTCCGCTTTAGTTCTGTAATCATTTGCCAAACTATGCACATCATAAAGATGTTTGGAGGCAACATTAGATTTATCAACAGAAACATCTAAAGCTGGTGTTTTGGTTGCCAACAGTCCCAGGGATTAACACTTAATCACATTAACATTTTGGTCTGAAAATAAAGGCAAAAATAAATTACACAGTAATTATTTGGTAATTATGTCAGTTGTTGTGGATGCAATTAAAAACTTTGGCAAATGAATATGTAATGAATGTCATAAATGATGATGATTGTGATGATGATGATGTAAAGGATGTCATAAGGGATGATGATGATTGTGATGTTGATGATGAGGATGTAAAGAATGACATATGTGATGATGATAGCGATGATGATGATCATGATGTTGATGGTGGTGGTGGTGATGATGATGATGATTTAGATAATAATGATGGTTATGTAAATCATTTGAATAATACCTATGTTGATAATATCAACTTAAATGATGATGTTGAATAATATATTGATGATGACTTTATTAACAAAGATGATGATGATATATTTGATGATGTTGATTACAATAATGATATGTTTTGGTTGTAATATTTCTGAAACATTGACTTGTAGTAAAATAACATTTATTTAACAAATTACACCTATATATCATATGTATTAACACATAATATAAAGAATGCAAACTTTGTATTAAACATTTAACATGTTTGTTAACAGACTTTGATGATGCTTAAATTTTCAAATTTTGGAAGAAGGCAGTATATTGACAGCTGCTGTTTTAAAATTATTATTTTACAAAATCAGTCTAACGTATGTTTATGATTTCAATGATCAGATGATGGTTTAAGGTGGTTATAAAATTTAAACTACAAAACTGAAAAGAAATATGTTTTAAGACTGCTTTAAGAACTTATGAAGGTAATTTGATAATAACATAAATATCCTCCTTTGAACAAATCTCTTCAAACTTTGTTGGCAAGGAAACTAAGCTGATTATTCAGGGAGAATCTTGCACTCCTGACATTATAATATATAAACTTGCTGTTTTTCTATATGTTTTTATTTGCCTAGTTTTTCTATGACAGCAGTATTTAGTTCACTCACCAATCTGACTAATGTAATAATCTTCCGTTGTAATTTCCCCACTAATGTAATAATGTATTTTCGCTGATTAACTCAAGTAATGTTATTTACTAATTCATTAAGTTACATTATTTTTCCTGAATTAATAGCACTTATTAAATCTTCTGGATTAGATTTTTAGCAAAATAGAAAAGTAAATGGAATTTTCTCAGACCGAAAAAATGCTTTAATTATAGAAAGGGTGAATTTGATTTTTGAATTGAATAGAACTCTCAGAACATTTGAAATTTAATCAAGTTTCAGCTGTTAATTATTGGCTAGAAAGAGACTTTAGTAAGGTATATAAGATTATCATCAGAGGATGAAATCATAAATGTTTAATCTTATATCATCAATACTGTATGTTACTTATTAAGAACATCAGTAGTAAAGTTACATAACATCAAATTAATATCATCTGTTTTCTTTTCAGAATTGCTGAACTTGAAACTGCGCTAAAAAGAAAATCAAAGACTGCAGGTAAAATATTTTATAGATTTATATAAAAATTATTTTTCTATGAATGATTTAATTAATGTAAAAATTTAATAATAAAAATACCATAGTTTTCACATAGATCTTGTACCCTCAAACTTCTCCTGCAGATCACCTCTGAATAAATACCGTATTTAAAACAACCTTTCTCAAATGGCCATAATACTGTTGTACATTATGATTTTACTTCAAAATAACCTGTTTTAAGAGACCACTTGTCAAAAAGTCTTTAATTCCTTAGAAATTGGTCTTAAAATACAGGGTTTACTATATTTACAGTCACTTTGACAACTTATAATTGACAGGTCCATCCATCTTAGTTCACTTCACAAAAAAATTTTAAAAAAGGGACAAAAAATGGATTAAAATAACAATTGAAAGGAACCAGAATGATTCAAATCTTGTTAGATGATTTTCATTTTTTCTTCAGTATTATCTTGGAAAATAAAAATTTTCTTGGAAGTTTTCTTGTGTATTATTTAGCTGATATGTCCTCCCTTTGTATTATTTAGTAATTGATTGTGTGTATTTCCTGCTAATAAATGATTGACTCCTAATAAATCTAGAAGAACTCATTCTGTTACTGCACTAAGGTGATGATATATATATATGCATGTATAAGGTAAATTTATTGTGAAAATTAGATGTCATGAATATAGCTATATGTTTTAATGCACAGGGTCACAGTAACCTGTGATAGTACAGGAATATTTGTGAATGATTGATGATCAAAATTCCAGTTTGATATACCATGACACAGCGCATTTCTATATACCAATACAATTGCAATTTGTCTTCCCAGATAAGCCATAGGCTTTGCACAAAAATATTGATGCAAAAACAAAAAGTTATTTATGAGGATGTAAGAGAAGAATGCACCAGATTATAATTATATGAGCTAACAGAAGTACTATGACTCAGAATAACTGAAGATTATATTTTGCTATTTTTTGTACTCAAGATTTCATAATAATTTTAAGGGACGCCACTGAGGTTTATTGACATGACAGGGCTGAAAATATATTTCATAGATTTGTGTATCAATTGATTTAGGTCTTATCATCCAATAACTAGTGTACACATTTTTAGCTCATTCCCTCATTCTGCTTCTTCGAGAATAATCATTTTTGTTGTGGAAAAAAGCCCAAAAATAAAAAGGTTTTGCAATGCTTTTCTCTCAAGTCTGCATATAAAAAGTATTGCACAATAAATCTATTTTCAATAAAATTCTGAGTATATTTCTTTATTGTCCTTTACAGATTTTTCCATCTGAAGTGCTTCACTTGATATTTGTATAATTTTCAAATTTTATATTTTTATGCCTTTAGACCTCAGTAGAGGTCCTTTAATCATATACAATGTATACGATGTAAATAGTTATGAATGATCACATATATAAGGTCAAACTTTACAAGTAAATGTAATATGATTTATTATCCAAATAATGGCCATGATTTTAAGAGCGAATTTCACCAAATTGTTCAAAGAAAGAAAAAAATAATAATGAAACACAAAAATAAAAAAAATAAAAACATTTTTCTTACAAAGTTTCTATCATTTTTCATAGGCATATAAAATGATTTTGATGTATTGTATTTATCTTATATATCATACATGTATATAATTATCTGAGAATGATAATCATTCATACCTGTGTAATTAAATGATCATATATTTTATAATGTTTTATTATAGCACTCTAAACTTATATAACAAAATTGTTTCCTGAAAACCTTTATTGTACAACAAACAAAAAGTTTCTTAGATATATTTCTTGTATCTTGTATTGAAAAGGAAAAATGTATGAATTTGATAAATTTTTGAGTTTATGAGTTTTTTTTTCTGTTCTTTATTGACATATTTGTTTGTTTGACTTTTCAATAAAATGTGCCGAATCATACTGTATTTAATATATGTAAGAATGTGATAATCTAAGTCGCGGGAGGTGTACAATATAAACGTTGCACGTAGCTTCACATTGTGCATGCCCATTACATCGTAATACGCTCAAAATTGACGATGAGCCGTAAGCGAAAAAAAACGTCAAGATGTAATTGATCTTAAAATAGTTTTCAGCTGGGTTTTTTTTATGTCTTGCATGGTGCAAGGTTTTTATGCCCCCGCCATTTAATGGCCGGGGCATATAGTGTTACCCTGTTCCGTCATTCCGTCCTTCCGTCATTCTGTCATTCCGTCATCATCAGTTTCCGTTCATTATCTTAAGAACGGTTGCACACATTTAACTCAAACTTGACATATGGAGATGTCATGAGAAAATACAGGTCAAGTTCGAATTTGGTCATGGTTCGATGATTTTTGGCAGAGTTATGCCCCTTTTACTTTGAAAATAATATGAAATTTTTCAGTTTCCGTTCATTATCTCCCCAACGGTACAACACATTCAACTCAAACTGGACATATGGATATGTCATGAGAAAATACAGGTCAAGTTCGAATTTGGTCGTGGTTTGATGATTTTTGGCAGAGTTATGCCCCTTTTACTTTGAAAATAATATGAAATTTTCAGTTTCCGTTCATTATCTCCCCAAAGGTACAACACATTCAACTCAAACTTGACATATGGATGCGTCAAAGGAATGTGCAGGTCAAGTTCAAATTTGGTCACGGTTCAATGATTATTGTCAGAGTTATGCCCCTTTCACTTTGAAAGTAATATGAAATTTTCATTTTCCGTTTATTATCTCCCCAATGGTGCAACACATTCAACTCAAATTTGACATATGGATATGTTTTTGGAATGCCCAGGCCAAGTTCGAGTTTGGTCATGGTTCAATGATTTTTTTGGCAGAGTAATGCCCCTTTCACTTTGAAAATAATATGAAATTTACAGTTTCTGTTCATTATCTACCCAACAGTGTTACATATTCAACTTAAATTTGACATATGGATATGTCAAACGAATGGGCAGGTCAAGTTGGAATTTGGTCATGGTTTGATGACTTTTTGGCAGAGTTATGTCCCCTTTCACTTTGAAAATAATATAGATACATCTTAGGAATAAGCAGTTTAAGTTTGAATTTGGTTGTAGTTCAATGATTTAAGACAAACTTATCTTTCCTGAATGTTTGGAAAAATTTTGAACTTTCAGTTTCAGCACTCTTACTTTTAGCCATTATTTTGGCTACAAATATGCAATATGCTATTTTTAAAAGGTTTTAGACTGAAATAATTTCAGTGCCTTGAACATTGTATGAAAATGGTTTGTGTTAACATTGAAAAGTTTTAAGGGCTTTGAACTTAAAATGAAAAAAAAATAATTAATGCACCATCTGAAATTTTGGCTGCATGCGGGGGCATTCCGTGCATGATGACACATTTCTAGTCTTTGAATTTAATTGAAATTTACAGTATTGCAAAGAATTCGGGGTGGCATTTGAAATGTTTAAAATGCAATGAAGTGCAACGAATATAAACTGTGTACGAAGCATATCCAGCCTGAAGTGTTGAATGAAAGATGAGTATTAAGATTTTATGTTTTTGTTCCAAGGTGTTGTGTCGAACGGTACACTAAATTTACTGTCATGAATGTAGAACTGGGAAGAGTTTTAAATTTTCAAAACTTTGGGCATTAAAAGGTTATAATTATCAATTTAATCAAATGAAAGTTGACAGTCATTAAATAACAAAGCAAAAATTTAATTATTATTGTATTATCTAAGCAGAAAATGATAATTCATAACATTTTCAAAAACCTCCCTTTTCTTAAAGTGACATTATGCTCATATTTTCATAGTCAAGTTGGACTTAATTGCTTTTATATTTCAAAAGATTGACTGTCAAAATGGTGTTTGGCCAACAGTTGATATTAGAAAATGTTTATGATACAATTATAAATCTGCAAAAAATTTAAAAAGACTGCCCCACTCTTTTTATTAACTAAGCGTTATACGTAAATTCTAACGGACATTTATAGAAATTTCATTCGGATCTGTGTGTTATTAATTGTTAATGCGAACTTAATTATTAAATTAAAAGGGATTATGGTAAATTGAAAACATATTTTGATCTTCATCTGTTCACTCACTTTATACCTTGGATGGGCATAATGTCACTTTAATTGAGCCATGTTACCTCTTAATGAATCATTATTTAACTAACTTTAATTATGTATAAACTATTATTCTCTCTATTATTGGAATGGAAAACGTCAGACATTTTAGGAAGTGTAATAATGTGTAAAAGAAGTGCATGATAATTCAAGCATTGACCATGCTTTTAATATTAGATTGAGAAGTACATATTTGCAGAGTGTGATTTTAAAAGAAGATCTAGATCTGTAGTAATTATGTGTGGAGATAATTTGATAGATAGACCCTGTCAAAGTCAGGTATGTAAGAACTGACTGATTCACACTATATATTTTACACTTAGGTAATAGTAATTTGATATCCCATTTATTACACTTAGGTTAATTGTAATTTGATAGCCCATTTAGATTTTGTTGATTTGTTCCAGGAGTCTCATCACATTTATTATATTTAAATTATGTACCTAACGACCTGATAAATGATATAATCTCTAAACTGCATACAATAATCTCTAACCCTTCTTCAGGAAAAATTCATTATTGGTTATGAAATGTCCATTTTCATAGTGCCAAAGTAAATGAAGCTTATATTTAAATAACATGCTATTGCCTTTTCAAATAATTTTCTTCCTTAATTGAGTTCAACAATTTAACAGTTGAAACATTTGCACAAAGAAATGAGAAATGCAGACTTAAAATTTTAGATTAATCTATTCAGAGTGGTGACAAATGCTGGTAAAATGCATTTGCATTGCCTTGTTAAAACGTAATTAATGGTGTTTAAATTGCGTACAGATGTTAAAGTGTCCCCTCTAGCTTTTCAACATTTGAATAAATGTAAATTTACAATTGCATTAGTATGCATTTAGGCCATAATTAAAATTAGGACAATGCATTGAAACAATTGCAAGGACATATTAATTTGTCCTTTTGAAAT